TTGCTTTTTATGAGTAATAAGAGAAAACAATATGTTGTTCTTATTTAAAGAATAAAATTTATTGACTTAACAAAGAACACTTCAAATGAGTTATAGCTTAATTTAGGTGAAAATTAATCATTTATATTTATATTTTTTAGTTAAAAATATTTAAATATTTATAAATTTTAATTTATAAATAACTAATAATAAAGATAAAAATAATTATAACAAAAAATTAATCATTTAAAAATCTTAACGTAAATTTATAAAAATGAATATAAAAAATTATAAATTTAAAATAAATTTTGTTAAAATAAATGAATGCGGGTTACTATAAAAAGACAATTTAAACAAAATAAGTCTACGTTAAATGAAAATTAATCATTTATATTTATATTATCATAGGCAGCACAACATCAGTTGGAAAGCCCATTTCTTAGGGCCTAAAATTTCAAACAATGGGTCACTAACCCAAGGGCCCAACCATTGTGTTAAAAGAGTCCAACTGGTGTTGTTTCAAGCTCTCCAGTTGATAGCCCAGCCAGCCGAAATCACAATGGCAGCATCATCTGTCAGTGATACGGACCACGTTTCCAGGAAGCAAGCCCACCAGATCTGGATTCAAGCCTGGATGGGGGCCTAGCCATTGACAATTTCGGCCCTCCATTGGAAAACCCAATGCCGTTCCACCATTACCCAACCGACACGACCCAGCGGCCGCCACTTAACCCGCTGCAGAACCACGCCGGCGGAATAGAAGCAAGTTCCTCGAATTCACAGTTACCGGCCACTGCTTAACTCCAAGTTTCAAAAGCATTGAAAGTCTCCCTTAGTATCGTTCAGACACTTTAATTTAGAATTCTTCCCATTCTTGTTTTAATTCAGACAATTGAAACAAGACAACACTCAAACACATTTTGCAAACATTATATACGTCTTTTCTTCATCCTATATTTTTAGTTATTGACCAAAAGTTTGCAGCATCTATTAAAAAGAAACGACAAAACAACTAAAGGCCGAGCTGACATATATCTACAAGTATCTTGAGTGGTGCATAGTGACTACAGAATATATATATATATATATATATATATATATATATATATTTAATCTGTTAACAACGTAAACATGAATACAAAAGTCCAAACCATCTACTGTGCAAAATAAATATATACAATCACCATTTCCATTCCACAATCTGAAAGTACAAATCGTCAAATGCAGTGGAATTTACGCAGATGCGGCCGTAGCCTCTAGGTTTTTCTCTATATTATATGTCAATTCTTTTTAGTCAAACTTGTACTAGAGATGTAAATTTTCATACGAAATAACAAGCTCCAACAAGATGGACAGAAAGAATACCACTGGCTACTGATTGTAGGGCAACGGCCCCCAGTTTGACAGCGTCTTATTATATGTTTCATGTTTTCATTGTTATCCACTGATACCCAAATTTCTAATTAAGACTGAAAAAAGTAATCTGTAGATCACAAACATCATATCTAAAATCCAACAGAAAAACTTAACATCATATAACCCAACAATATTACTGTCAATACATATTACCTAGTGCAAAATAAAGGAAGATTCAATGGAGTAAACTTGAACCCCCACATCAAGAAAAAAAGACAAATGCTTGACCTGGATATACTACTCCCTCTTCAGCTCACCAACTCTGGCTTCCTCTTCTCTTTCTGATATGCACAATCAGATACGAGTTAATCACTGCAGGTTGAATTGAAACAGAACTCCCTTTGAATCACAAAGATTCATCATCGTTGATTCGGGTGGGCGCCCTTTCTGTCAATACAAAATGTTATGCATCAATTAGTTTTCTTCCTCTAGGCAAGCCAGGCATCGTCTCTTCCCTGGCATTAGTATCCACACAGTAACACATACACCAATAATAAGCTAAATATTAATGATTGCCTTCAGTAAAATGAGTATATACCCAGTAAAATACAACTCAAAAGAGGCTACTACA